GGCCGCGACGAGCGGCTGAGGGCAGGGCCGCGATAGGTGGCGGCAGGGCAGGGCCGCGACAGGCGGCGAGGTCAGGGCCGCGACGTGGGGCGGCAGGACAGGGCCGCGACAGGCGGCTGGGTCAGGCAGCGACGTGGGGCGGCAGGGAAGGGCCGCGACGGGCGGCAGGGCAGGGCCGCGACGGGCGGCGGGTCAGGCCGCGACGGGCGGCGACAAGGCAGGGCCGCGACGGGCGGCTAGATCAGGGCCGCGATGGGCCGTTAGGGTAGGGTCGCGACGGGCCGGTAGGGCAGGGCCGCTACGGGCGGCAGTAGGGCAGGGCGCGCTACGGCGCAGGTGAGGCAGGCGCGAGGCGCGCTTCGGGCAGGGCAGGGAAAATCGTGGTGGGCCCTAAAAAAAAAAACACGTTCCCACTAGGGAACCTGCTCTGAAACCATGTGAAAGATAGAACGAGGAATGATTGCATTGAGCAGGATGAGGAGTACAAGTAGGAAACCCTAAAGTGTTGTACCCCATATGAACTACCCCACTACAACCTACACAGACTATAGCATATGAGTTTGACACCCCTAAGCCTTTGCAGCTGTGTAGGCTTCACCTGTGGCCAATAGGGAGCCTTAACACTATGCTGCGGGGAGAGAATATTAACTCCTCGGAACACACGACTCTTTTCAACGCTCCGGAGTGGTTTGCCCAACTTCTCAGGTACCTGAATAGTCTCTAAGGGTTTTTTCGTACCCTCTAAATCTCCCCTAAATTTCTCAGAGGCTTGAAGACCACGAGAAGTAATAGTATTAGTTAATGTATCTTTGTAGGATAACTTTAACGAATTCTTACTCGCGGGGGTGTTCGGCTGGAGTTTTCCAGTCGGTGCAGAGTCTTGTTTCGCGGAGCCTCTATTTGTCTCGGCGATTTCCCCTGTTGCCGGCCGGTCGTGACTTTTAAATTCGCGCCATCATGATCTCCTTTTTTCGCCCGCTCCGAAGTCGCCACGCCGTCGCCTTTTCGCCTTTTCCGGATCTTTTCGTGATCGCCAGGTTGACCCGCGGCTACTGGCGATTCCCTTTTTTACTTCGGGGGTGCCGCACTGTTGTTTCCTTGCAGCTCCGCTCGTGCCTTCTTCATTTTCCAACACGCCAAGAGTCGATGTCCTGCTGCGCCGCCAAATTCGCACTTCTCACATTATGTCGGCTGCTGCGTCGCGTCGACCTTGTCGATATCCATCGGGTTGGTGGTCGTGGGTGGTGCCGATCGCTCCATGCCGAATGATCGGTTCGGCACGCGGCGTCGTGTTTCGGGTTGACATCGCGTCAGCGCATCGAATCTCTCTGCTGCACACACCATGTCGCGGTAGTTGTTGTAGTTCGTGGCAATGACATGACGTTTTCTGCCTGTCGCGCGCCCCGGGCGCGCGCGGCGGTTTCGTCGCCCGTCGCGGCACCCAAGGGGCCCGCGCGCTGTCCCCTCCCGTCGCCCGTCGCGGCGTCCCGGGGGCCCGCGCGCCGCCCCCCCTCCCGTCGCCCGTCGCGACGCCCAGGGGGCCCGCGCGCCGCCCTCCCCGTCGCGCGTCGCGGCGCCCTGGGGGCCCGCGCGTCGCCCCCTCCCGTCGCCCGTCGCGGCGCCCTGGGGGCCCGCACGCCGCCCCGCTTCCGCTCGCACGCCGCCCCAGCTGCTGCCCGCGTATCTGCCCCGTGCCGCACGCGCGCTGCCTGCGTTGGGGGTATGGGGGTGGCGGGTATGGGGGTGGCGGGTGTGTGAGCCGTCCCCTGCTCCTCCTCCTCCTCCGTCTCCCACTGCTGCAGCTGCCGCTGAGGGGGGTGGGTATGTGGGAGCCGAGGGAGTGGCGCTAGGGGGGTGTCGTGGGAGTGGAGCTAGGGGTGCAGCAAGGGGTGTGTGAAAGGGGTGTGGGACAGTTGGGGGAGGTTGAGCGGAGGTAGCCGTCGTGACGTCAGCAGCGCCAGTAGTCCGGGGCCCTTGCTCCGGTAGCCCAGCGAGCCTGCTGCGCCAGTCGCCCGTGGGTCCATTGCTCCTGTCGCTCGTCTTAGCCGCGGAGCCAGTTACTCCTGTAGTCCGGGGCCCTTGCTCCGGTAGCCACCGTGCGCGCCGCTCCTATTGCCCGTGTGTCTGCGGCTTCACCCGTCGCCTCCTATCTCCACTCCTCTCACAGTTCCTCCTCCTCCTCACTTGCCCTCTGTGACTGCCTCTAGCTTTGCTTGTGCTTGTGAACTTCTTATGCGACAGCTTGCTGTGCTGATCATACCCCACTTTGCCTATGGGGGTGTGTCAGAATGCTATAATTTTCTAGTCTGCAGTGGGGTACTCTATAGTGAGTACAGCCCAAATTAGGGTTTGCTATATGTATCCTATCTGCTACTAGTGCAACCCCTCTTTCTATTTCTAACTTTTCTGCTAGCGTTTCTCGACACGCGATGCGTCCCGAACAGAACCTTCCTGAACTCAGTAGAAAGCAATTCGGTGGCAACCGAAAAGGCTTGAGTTTGGTACACGTAACCTGGTTTGGTGCTATAACTATAATAACATATAAGAATGCACCTAACCTAGGAAATCAAACATATCTATGCATGATAAATAAAACCCAAGCTATAAATAGCATAACAAAATACAGGCAAGCTAGCAAGGCCAGCATAAGCCGTCGTACTCTCACACAGAAGGTCGACTTGCTCCAGTTTGCCGCCACGACGACGAGGCCCGACATTGCCTTTGCGTGCAGCAAGCTGGGCTCCGGCCTGACTGTACGAAGCGACCAGCACTGGCGTGAGATCAATCGCTGCCTCGCCTACCTTGCCGACACTCGTGACGTCGCCATGGAGTTCGGCGGCGGACCAGAGACACTCTGCCTGGTCAGCTACACGGACGCGGACGACGCCGGCAACAAGCAGAATCACAGTAGCACGAACGGCTACGTTTTTGACTTCGGAGGGGCCGTCGTCTCTTGGACGAACCAGCGCATCAAGTGTATGACACTGTCGTCGACCGAGTCGGTGTATATCGCGGCCACTGAAGCCGGCAAGGAGGCTCACTGCCTTTGCTGCCTCCTTGCCGAGTTCCGGCTACTCGACGCTGGGACGACGACCGTCCTGAACGTGGACAACCAATTGGCCATAGCGGTCGCCGGGGGCTTGGTGCTAAAGGGAAACCTCAAGCACATGGATCGACGCTACGCCTGCCTTCAGGAGATGGTGAAGCGCGGGAAGATTGTTCTGCAGTACATCTCGACCACCGAGCAACCAGCAGACTTCCTCGGGAAAGCTCTGCACTTCTCGGCCTTCAACAAGTGCTCCGGCGCGATCGGCCAAGTGCGACTGGCTGACATCGGTGACGGGGACGACGACGTGTAGCAGTAGGCGCCGTGTCCTTAGCACGTGGCGTGCGGTGGAAGACGTGATGTGCTGCGTGTGCATGCCGACGGAGTATCGCCTTGTACACTATCCATTTGGGTTCTTGGTGGACAGTGTGTGGGTGCCCAAGCATGAGCTGGGCAGGGTAGTGTTGACGGGAGTTGGCCCCACCCTCGCTTGGGCGAACTCGACTTCGTGGTCGGGTATGCCGGTGGTGTAGTCGACTGCCTGCAGTGGTCGATGCTGACGGCGAGCAAGTCGACGGACTTGGCTGACTTGCATGGGGCCACTGCAAAGTTGCTGACGAGGTGAAGTCAGCGGCCACCTTCGACTAGTGTGGTCGACGAACCCCTTCGTGCATAAGTTTGCTGGCTCCTACCATCGAATAGGTCAACTCCGACTTTGGGGTTTCTCAGTGGACCGAGTAACCTGGGCGGCGAGGTTCTGCAGGAGTGCGCGAACGTTGCCCAGGTAGTCATGGTGAAGTCGACCAACGTGGTAGCACGTGGTCGACATGGTGCATTAGGCGAAACTCTCGGCACGTGGCCGACTTGGCACCTGCGCAATGTGCGTGACGGTGCACATCGTGATCAACCATCTACAAGCACCTGCGAAGTAGGTGCACGAATGTGCGCTACTATCACCTGTGGTTGCAATGCTGGCAGGCCGCTCGGATGCAGCGTTGGCAAGCCGCCTTGGTTCAGCGCTGGCAGGCCGCAGACTTGCTACGTTGGCAATCCGCCATCATACAGTGTAGGCACGGTGTCGACTTGCAGTGCTGGTAGTTCGCCGACTTTGCTGCACTGGCGGTCGACCTGCCTGTCTGCTAGGTTGCCTTGCATATGATGTAGTCATTGTTCCCTATCATTCTTGCATCATTGTTCTCAACTTTTGGTAGTGAAACTCTTGCAGTTTTTACCCCGTGAACCCACACATGAGCAAGTGCTAGAGATAACGCTACGATCACTCGTATCACCCGTACCTTCCCCGCAGTCTAGCTCCCACCGGTGTAAAGTGACTCTCCGCAGAGTCGCTAGGCTCATCTTAGAGCGTGTTCTTGCAGCCTCTTATCAGGGAAACCTCTTGTCAGGCTCGTGCCGTACCACTCTGTAACGCTCGTAATCAGATCTCATCGTTCTGAAATATATTGAAGCACACAAGTCTGACAAGACTTGTGCGTGATAAGAAGTCGTAGGATCATGCCCTTATTTCCTACTTCTAATACAACCTATATGTAATGGGGGCCGTGACCATAAGTCGCTAGTATCTTATTTTGAGATTTCTAACTATTAACATGCCTGTGTGACCTTGTTAGAAGCTGTTTTGTTCCAGCCGCGCGTAAGGGCGTATATCTGTTCATGTCATGGGGATTGTACAAAGCCACCGTTCATGTCATCCTGAAACCACGCTTCCCCATCCGTGGTTTCCATATCACACGAATAGTTGCCTTGCACAATGCTCATGAAAAACATTGGGATACACCCTAAGTTATGCTCAGCAAGGCATACATGTTCTTTTCCGCTTGGTTGTTCGTGTTTGCCGCAAGATTTTCCACTCATTATGCTTCTCCACCCTCCTCCACCTTCATTCGCTCCCTTACTGGTGTTGACTGGCGTTCACCATGTTGACCGGCGTTGACCCATGTTGACCAGCGTTGACCCACGTTGTGGCAGAGGGCGGGTACAGGTGCACGGCCCCTTCTCAGGTGCACCGCATTGCCCCTCCTGCGTGATGCGTGCTTCCACCCTCCACATTTCAACCCCTTTTTCTCCTCCTCCTCCTGTTCCCCCTGCAGCCGTTTGCTCCTCCACTGACCCTTCTTCACACACTCGCCTTCCTCCACACGCCTGCCACACCACGCACTCTCCCCACCCGGCGCGGCTCTGATTCTCGAGGGAAACTCTCTGCCGACCCAAAGCCATTGGTGCCGGGCCAGGCTCTGTTTCTCTGTCTCTCCCCTTCCTTCGCCGCCCTCCAACCAACTTCATCCCCGCCCCACCAACCCATCAGCCTCGCTGCTGCAGCAGACGCACTTTACAGCATCATCATAATATACTCAAACCTCCCCTTCCCTCCTCTCTCCACCCCTTTCCCAATCCGCTCCCCACTCTGCCAGCCTCGCTGCTGCAGCAAATGCTGTTCACGGCATCGCCTGCCATCTTCCTCGCTTGGCTCGACGCCCTCTCTTTGTGTGTTTTGAGTCGACTCAATCAAACCCATGTGCTCTCCTCTTTCCCCCTCCCCTCGCCGCCCTCTAACTTCATAACCCCCCATCCCGCCAGCCTCGCTGCTGCAGCAGACGCCCTTCACAGCCTCACCTACCGTCTTCCTCTCGTGGCTTGACGCGCTCTCCTTCTGGGGGGCCGGTGCTGCTGATGCCGCCGTGGCTGAGGGCCTCTCAGAGGCGCTGCTGGTGAGTTGAGGCACTGCTGGTGAGTTGAGGCGAGGTGAGGTGGTGGCACGGTTGCACGGGGACGCAAAGCAGCAGCACGAGGGTCACACCAACGTTTCACTCCTCTTCTGCTGCTCCTCCTCCTGATGTGATTGTGTGATCATAAACCCAACCCAATCATCCCACCTGAATGCTGGAGTCACCTGCTCCTTCCTGTTCCCTCTTCTCCCTCCCACCCCCTGTTGGCAGATGCTGTGCCCCACACCAACGCCCACAGCCAGCCCCCCCCCCCCCCCCCCCCCCCCCCTCCCCAGCGGGTCTGGAGCGCCACAAGAACGTGGTGCTCGTCGCTGCCTCGCCACCCCACCGCCTGCCCACCCTGGTCGTCAAGCCGCCCCTGCCCGCCTCCACCCCTGCTGCTGCTGCCGATGCTAGGGGTGGCAGTGGCGGGGGCAGCGGGGTCACGTGGGAGGCAGCGGCGTGGAGAGCGGTGTCCGCCCACATGGTGGCCTCACTCTTTGCCCACCCTCTGGTCTGCTCGCTGTCACCTCGCCTCCACCTACCCTCTCTCCTCTACTGCTCCCCCTCTGTGCCTCTTCATTATCCAACCCCCTTGCAACCGGCTGCTGGCAGTGCAGCAGAAGCAGCGGCTGGTGCAGGCAGTGCAGGAGCAGCAGCGGCTGGTGCAGGCAGTGCAGCAGCACCAGCGGCCGGTGCAGGCAGTGCAGCAGCAGCCGGTGCACGCAGTGCAGCAGCAGCAGCGGCTGGTGCAGGCAGTGCAGCAGCAGCAGCGGCCGGTGCAGGCAGTGCAGCAGCAGAAGCAGCGGCCGGTGCAATCAGTGCAGCAGCAGCAGCGGCCGGTGCAGGCAGTGCAGCAGCAGCAGCGACCGGTGCAGGCAGTGCAGCTGCAGCAGCGGCCGCCGGCCGGTGCAGGCAGTGCAGCAGCGGCCGCCAGCCGGTGCAGGCAGTGCATGATGGTTCCCGTCGTATCGGTTCTCCTTTTCCTACTGTTCGTCTTCCTTCATCATTTTCCTTTTCTTCCTTCCTGCCTGAACTTTGTGGGATGGCGAGTTGCAAGCTTGCATTCCAATGAGCTGCAAGCGGCTTGTCATCACATTGCATGCTGTGTGTATGTGAAATTGTCTGGGGCATGATGGGTGCGTGTATGTGTAATTATTCAACTTTTGAGTCGACTAAGCAATCCTCCCTCTGCGTGACATCATCGCACTTGCCATCGCAGCGACAAGTGCACCCCATCAATCCACTGGCTTTGCTGATTTCCAGCTTCTCACTTCTCCTGCAAATAGCACAACTGGCAACATATTCACCCAAGCTTTAGAGCATTAGGCTACGCGTCACAAGGATCCAACACGCAATTGCATGGGTGCACGCGCTGCATGCCATGCACCCCACCCCCCAGATTCAATGCACCTCGCCTCCTTTCTTGGCCTTGAACCCCCAATTTCCTCCTCTAACGCCCCACGCACCCTTCCACCCCCTTTATTTCCCCTCTCCCTATTCCCCTCCCCCATCCCTCCCCTCCCCATGCGATGTGCAGTCGCAGAGCAGCAGAGCCGCGGATGCAGTACGGCAGAGTGGTGAAGTTACCTTCAAGTGAAGACCACCGGCATCTGTGCACTCGCTGCACCGAACCAGCACGCAACGATTCTCCACTTTCCCGCCCTCCCCCCTCTTCCCCCTTCCCAGGCAAAGCGCAGTCCCCCACCACGTGGCGCTCATTGCTGAGGGCTTCCTGGAGGCACGCAGCGTGCTGCACCGTGCTCCAGCGCCCAATTAGGGCCCGCCACGTGGCCCAGGCGGTGGGCCCTCCTCCTTCTGTTGGTGGTGGAGGAGGAGGAGGGCCCGGGGCGGGGGCTGGTGGCATGCCAGCGGTAGCGATGGCTGGTTCAGTAGATATGGCTGGGGCAGTCATGGGTGGGGCAGACATGGGTGGGGCAGGCAAGGGGGGAGGGGGGGGGGTTGGATTTTGGCAAAACTCGCTAGTTTCAGGACGTGAGCATGAAGGCAGCTTCAAGCTTGCTTTTTCTGGTCTCAGTGCACATCTTCAAACATGCTCCCAGACGCTTCCAGATATCATTGTTTTGAGCAAATCTCAAGTTGTGTATTCAAATTTGTATTCCTCGTGCCTGCATCCTACAGGGCAACTGCCACAACAACCCGGGGCACCCATGGATTAGAAGGAAAAGCAGGTGGGTGGGCGGTGTGAGTGAGTGCCTTGCTTGTCGAAGCTGATGATGGCATGGAGACACAAACGTGCATATCCATGCGCCCCCTCCCATTTCCCTCAAAACCACAAACTACAGACGCACATTCCACCCACCCGACCTCCTTTCCAACCCTCCATCTGGTACTGTTGCGCACCATACGAAACATGTAGTGTAGAACACACGCATAGTCCACGCGTAGCGCGTAAACATGAGCAATAGTCGAATTATAACCAGTTCGAGTCAAACAGAGCCTAGTTGATGCATGATTCGAAATGAAGCAAACTGGTTCAGGTCGGAATAATTGGGTTGGGGCGCAGGCCACTTTTTGAGCTTCGACCAATCTGGTGGAATTGCAATCGGCTGACTTAAGCCAAGATGCTTTCACCTTTTCTTTATCATCAGTCGCAGGCTTCGCAGACCTTGTTGTTTTCCGTGCGGCATTTTATTCTTGATGGATAGCGCACCTACATATGTACGCACACAAACACACCCAGACACACATGCATACAGACACAAGCACATGCCCACACACACACACACACACACGCACATACACACACACACACACACACACATACACACACACACACACGCACACACACGCACACATGCACACGCACACACGCACACACACGTACGCACACGCACGCACGCATACGCACGCGCACGCGCGCACGCGTACACGCACACGCAGACGCGCACGCACGCACACGCACGCACATGCCTCTCTGCGCCCGCACGTGCAGTGTTTTCTCATTCCTCTTTCACTCTCGCTCGCTCCACTCTACCCGCCCCACACCCCTCAATAGGAGCCCACGTTTCCTGCACCACCACAGCAACCCCTTGCCCGTCCTTCTGCCCTCTCTACCTCCCACTCTCAACCCTTAGGTGCACACCAGCCCCCCCCCCCGTCTGCTGCAGCGGGGAGAGATGTGCTACTGGGGTTGGGGGGAGGGCCAGCAGGCGCCGCTACTGTTACCGCCACCAGTGCCACTGGGGGTGCTGGGAGTGCTGGCGGTGCTGCTTCTGCGGCGGTTGTAGACTCCAGGACAGCAGCACCCGTGCCCTCTCTCCGCACCACGAGCCACAGCCTGCAGTTCGTCCCCACCCAGCAGCAGCAGCAGAAGCCACCACAGGCATATCAGCAGCTGCTTCCGCAGTAGCAGGCAGCATAGCAGCAGGCACAGCCGACAGGTGTGGCTGTGCCGGCACGGGGGGGGGGGGGGGGGGCTAGGAGTGGGCATGGCAGGGCAGCAGAGGGGGTATGTGGGAGTGGGGCCAGATGGCGGTGGCACTGCTATGGGAACACTGCCTGGCGCCGCTGCTACTGCTGGAGCCGGTGCGAGTGGCAGAGGGTGGTGGGGCTGGTGGGGTGGCTGGAGTGGTAGCAGCAAGAGCAATGCAGGCCCTGCAGACACAGCAGCAGCCACAACAGCAACATCAGCAGCCTGCACAGTTGGTTGCTGGCCCTGGGAGGCGCATGATGCCCCGCACCACACCTATAGGCATGGCAGCAAGAGCAGAAGGAGCAGAAGGAGCACCTGCACCAGGTATGGGTGCAGCCATACCAGCAGCTGTTCCTGAACCTCAGATTGCCAGGCCTAGTATATCCGTACCTGCCGGAGGCCCGGGAGCAGCTGTAGGCATGGCAGGCCGCGGAGGACAGGGCTTGGCTGCCTCCCAACCAGGCCTTGCCCGTGGGCTGGGAGTAGGTACGGGATTAGGCCCGGGAGCAGGGTTTATGGGATGAGGAGGTCCGGGCGTAATAGCAGAGGTGGTGGGGGAGTCACAAGGGGGTGCAGCAGCAGCAGGCATGGTTGGGCATGGGGTTGGCATGGCAAATGTAGCACAGCAGGGCAGGTCTGGGCAGGCAGCAGTGGTGGGTGGTGTGGGGGGAATGGGTATGGGGGGAGCAGGTGGAGCAGGAATGGTGGGGGGCCCTCAGGCCGGCATGGCAAGGCGTGTGGTAGGTGGAGTTGTGGGGGTGGGAGGGCTCATGGCAGGGGCGATGGGGGGTGGTGCAGGCATGGCAGGGGCGGCAGGGGGAGGAGTCATTAATGGTGCTGGCGGGCAGATGGGCCAGCGGCCTCCCCTGCAGCCGCAGCAACAGCAACAGCCGCCAGAGCAGGCAGGCACATCAATAGGCACAGCAACGACCTGTACAACCACAGTTTCTGCAGGTGCACGCGGGTGGAGGGGCAGGAGGAGCAGGAGGAGTGGGTGGTGGAGTGGTGGGGGTCCAGGCAGGGGGCGTGCAGCGGGTGGGTGTGGGGCAGGGCGTGGCAGGGCAGCAGCCTACAGTGGAAGGAGGAGGAGCAACAGCAGGGCCTGGGCCTGCCATGCCCGCTCACCCGCTGCCTCACGCGCCTCGCGCTGCTGCCCCCACTGCTGCCGCCCTTGCTGCTGCTGGTGGGCCACAGCCTTCTCCCGCTACTCCTGCTGCTGCCGCCCCACTGGCTGCTGCTGCTGGCGCTGGGGCAGGGGCAGGTGGTGTGAGGCCGCCAGGACAGCCCCCGCAGTACCTCAAGCTGTGGGAGGTGAGCAACGGTGTGCTCATGACCTGCTCGTTTGATGTATGTATCTTTGCGCTCTTGACTTGCCCAATGCTCATGTTGCTAGGCGCTTGCTATCGTTGCTGGTTCCATGCAAAAGACGTTGAATCACATCACGTGCAGTGCTTCAAATTTCTGATTTGCCATAGAACCTCGCTGCTACCCGTGTCCCTGTCACCTCTTCAGGGCACGCCCATGGGGCAACGCAAGGTCAAGTCTGCTGAGCTTTGCCGTAGGGAGGTGATAGAGTGCTGCATGGAGGTGAGAGAGTTGGGCATGGAGGTGAGAGAGTTTGCCACTTCCGCTTCTGTCTCAGCATACATGCCGTTTGCTTCCGTTTCCCCATTTGTGTGGCAACTCAGGCTCAAGTGTTGTGAATGATGCAGGCAGTAATCTAGGCTTCAGTAATATGAACAGCCCGATTCTCAGGATTTGTAATTCGCGTGTGTGCAGTTCATGTGCCATCTGCGTGTTTTTGAACCTTGCAATCCAATGGGTGTGCATGTTCTGTTAAATATGGAGTGTAATTTGTTTACTTCAACCATTGCTTCTGGGGAACTGTGTGTGGCTGATTGTGTGCATGTATGCATGCGCATGTGTGTGACCGAGTGAGTGAATGTGTATGAGTCCAAGCTGTGTTTTTTTGTCTGTTGTGTGTGACTAGCAGGGCTACCACCAAGCAACATCTCCTCCCAAATATGTCTTTCAACCAACCCCAATTGTTTACCCAAACTTTGTACAAACAAGTCGTTTCTCTTGTCCCCACACCACTGATGACACACCTCAAACGTACTCCGTAGCTTTGCATGCAGCAATGGGTATGGCCAACCGCTGTCATACCTCCTTTAGTTATGCCCATCTCTTTTAATTTATTCCTGTTTGCGTCATTGTGTATGTATAGCTGCCGTTTCCTCATGAGGCGAGCCATCCCCCACCCACATGCCTCACCTCACTCTCCCTGTCCAATCTTCTGCTCACACCCTGGCAGCAGACTGGACGGACACAATGCAGATCGTGCGGCACGTGTCCCAGGAGTGCATGAACAACAAGTAAGCCCCCGCCTGTTTTTTACGCACCGCAAAGGTAAATTGCAGTGCAGCGCAGCACCGATCAAGTTGTACAAACAAGTTGTGTATACATGAGCTACATGTCCTTTTGTAGTTGACAAGAAAGCCAGCAAGAAGCGATCGCCACCAATCATAACACTCATGTGCACCCCCCTGGTTCCAACGAATTCCTCCTTTTCCCTGCTCCCCTCCTCGCCCCCCTTCTCTTCTCACCTCTCCCCCTCACCAACCTCCTCGCAGGTAGCTGGCAGGCAAGGCGGAGGTGCTGGTGCTCCTCCCCATGTCATCACACGAGTTCTTGCAGCAGATGGGTGAGAAGAAACTCGTGAGTGCGCAGGGCCCATGGCAGCTGGCAGCAGCTATGGGAACAATGCCCTAGAGGTGGCCGCACAATGCCCTAGAGGTGGCCGCGCAATGCCCTAGAGGTGGCCGCGCAATGCCCTAGAGGTGGCCGCGCAATGCCCTAGAGGTGGCCGCGCAATGCCCTAGAGGTGGCCGCGCAATGCCCTAGTGGTGGCCGCGCAATGCCCTAGAGGTGGCCGCGCAATGCCCTAGAGGTGGCCGCGAAATGCGTTAGAGGTGGCCGTGCAATGCCCGGCATGCCCTTGCAATGCCCGGCATGCCCTTGCAATGCTCGGCATGCCCTTGCAATGCTCGGCATGCCCTTGCCATGCTCGTCATGCCCTTGCGTGCGATTCAGAAGCAGATAGTTCTGAAATAACTTGTGAGGTGGTGCGTGAGGGATATGGTTTGAGATAATGTGGGGATTGGTTAGAGGAGCGAGGAAGGGAGAGATAGCAAGATTATAGTGTGACAAGGCATGAATCGGCCAATCCATTAAGATTTGATGCACCATGAATCGGCCAATCCATGATTACTTCAGTGGTTGTTCTTGTGCCTTACACCATCCATGCCATGATGCACTAAACCTGGTGCACATGCCTTTAACACGCACATACATATTCAGCATTTATCCCCCATCGAATTTCCGTTCACGCACGCATCTGTCTCCTTTTTAACGTGTATGTACATGTATCCATCTCATCATCTGGCCATGGATCCTGCACATGCTTCCATCAGTGCACTGTCATTTAGCTGTCGTCTCAAACCCTCCTGCTTGGCACCATACCCGACCACTCCAGCCGCCTTGTTGGCATGCTCTTTCCCAAGGTAACTCACTCACCGCTTCCCGTTGTGTAGCGTCTTCCATTTTTGTTGCTTGATGTGAACTAGGGCCAATACTCTATTTGAGGAGTAGAGTGGTTCTTCCGAATTTCTCATTACGCAAACTCATGACAAAGGGGCACTCCATGTGCATGGTACAGGGCACTCCTTGTTGACAACTATTTGGGATTTAGAGGTGTCAGAAGAATGAACGAGAATGATGAAACTAACAGCATGCAGAAGTACAAGTAGCAAACTCTATTTCGGTTATACCCCATTTCGATGATAGTTTGACAAGAGGCTCTAAGCACACTTTTTAATCACACTAAGTAGTCCCCACGAAGTCACCTCCAAGGGTCCTTGAATGCCTGATAGAACCAGCCCCTATCCAAGGGTCCGTGTTTGTAGAGGGATTCCTAAGTATGAAAAGCGTCGTGTGCTCTTAAAGCATTCCCAAACTCATATGCAGAAGCATTATACGATTGCGTGTGCAGAAAGTTCTCCTCGCGTCAATACGCCGATATATAATATTTTCACTCGTCAAGGTTGATCCACAAAGGCTTGATTACAATCAAACACACACACACGCATTTATAGAAAGCACTAAGCATGAAGGAAATCACAAGGCAAACCCTAAACATTTATTAAACTGCAATATAGAACTTCGCCATGTTGTCTTGGTAAAACGGTTGTCAAACTTGAGCTGCATTTGGCTTCATCCACTTCCTTAGAATAACTGTCTTCAAATTACATTTCATCCAAACGCCCCTGCTGACTCCCCTCGTGAGCACTCGTGAATTCCCACGAGCATTCATGAAGACTCGTGTGGGAAAACCGTTTCCCCCGTTGTAAAACAGCATTTACCGTTGTAAAACAATATTTACCCGTTTTGTACCTTAGTCAAAATGATCACGCAAAGTCGCGTGAGTTTCTGACGCGATCATGTTTTGTCCTGCGCGGGACAAGGCAATAATGTGCTCTGTCCTATTGCGATCGTGGGCCCTGCCATGCTCGCAACAGTGCCACGGCAGGTGCGCGAGCCCTGAGGAGCGAGACGCGTGTAGCAGGACCCCACGCGCAGGTCCTGACCTTCGCGCACAGTTGACATTGACCAGCGCGACAAGTCAAAGTATCAAAACCACTTGCCACTCCTTAAAACGCTTGAAAAACATCAACTCTCATCCATTCTCATAAAAACTCACGAAAACACATGAAAAACAATAAGCGAACATTCATGCGCATTCACGGAAACTCACGAACATTCATGAACACTCATGAAATGCACTCACACAAAAAAATGCACATAACATATGAACCGTTAAGGCGATTCTCAAACCGTAAACGCACAAATGTAAAGCACAGAAATGCGCATCTCACACTCAACAAATTACCTAAAAAAAGAAAAACATCATTTTCCTTTAACGTCAGTGAATAGGCGGTAGGTTGACGTGTAAATCAGGTTGTGGTCCGTATCCAGAGCTTGTGGGTTGCCTCATGTACCTGATGACGTGCACACAAACTGACCTCGCGTACCCTCTCAGCCTCGTGGCTCGCTACGTGGCTCCAAGTAGACATCGAAAGGTCAACCTACCGCCCATCCCTATCAGTTGTAGCCAGTTGGGGACAGCCTGCTCATCACTGTACTTGGCCACCCAGGCATCCTTGAGACGGCCGAAGCTGCGATACTCAGTGTGCCCCTTCCCGCAGGTCTGACCCTTCTTGAGCCCCGTGCGCCTGACATACGGGCAGCGACCAGAGCCCCCAGGGAAACCACGCTGGACAACCCACTCACGAAGCTGCTGAGGGGTGGGGTTGTATGGGAGGCGCGGCAGCTGCTGCCCACTCCCAAAGCCTCCTCCGCCACGAGCTGAGCCACCATAGCCTCCACCCCTGCCAGCTCCACCTCGACCTCCTCCACCACCCCCGCCGCCTCCACCACCCCCGGTGCCTCCACCACCCCCTCCGCCTCCACTGCCTCCACCTCTGGAGCCACCTCCACCGCCTCCGCCCCCGCCACCACCACCCCCGCTACCCCCACCGCTAGTGCCACCCCCACCACCCTTACCCCCCTTGCCCTTGCTGCTGCGGCGCCTCCCACTAGGAGCAGACGCAGCGTCGACTTCCTCAGCACCAAGGAGGTCGACAGCAGCAGCAGAGGCAACTTAGGGAATGAGAGGGGAGGGAGCACACCCTTCAAAAAGGGGAGAGCGTGGAGTGCCACGAGAGGCAGCGACAGTTACCGTACCGGTCTCAGCCTTGAGAAGGTACTTCTCCAGCGAGGCAATCGTGAGCTGAGTGGGGTCAATGGCGAGGAAGTGGTCCCTAATTGTGCGGAGGGAGTCAGGGAGGCGTGTGACGAGGGAGTACAGGGTGATATACAGCGGAGGGGGGATCGCAGCGAGAAAGCTCGGCTTAAGAGCGGCGCGGTAGCGAGTCTCACTAGAGCGAAGGTGGGTCATGAGGTCAGAAACAGTGTGGAAATTTGCGAGCTCAGGAAAGAGGTACGGCATCATCAGACGGCCTAGGGCAGCAGTAGCTGGGGAGGAGTAACGAGTGACAACAGCATCATAGAGGTCTTTGGTTGTATCTGCTGGCTAAAATGTGCCCTCTCAGCTAGCAGAAGGTGGTTGCGGACAGCAAGGCGGGTAGTAGTGTCACGCGTGAGCCACTTCGACTGATCTAAGCGGTCAACTGTAGCAGCTGCAGCGAGGAGCGATCCGGACGTATGTTCGATCAATGAAATGCCATCCATAGCTTCGCTCTGCAGGTACTGCTGGAGATCGTCGAGCCAAACGTCAAAGCTAATCGGGCGGCCTTCCGCATCAAAGCTAAGAACCGAGATGGTGGCCATAGTGGCAGTAGCAACAGTAGCAGCAGCAGCAGCAGCAGCAGCAGCAGCAGCAGCAGCAGCAGTAGCGCCAGCAGCTGCAGTAGTAGCAAAGCAGCAGCAGGGCAGTGCGGCTCAGTAGGGGCAGGGCAGCGCGGCTCGGGTAGGGTGGCGTGGCTCGGCAGGGCACAGAGCAGCAGCGCGCGCGGTAGCAGCAGCTCAGGCGCAGCAGCTCGTTTGGCAGCAGCTGCGCAGCAGCAGCAGCGCTGGCGGGTAGGGGTGCTTGCGGGCAAGCAGCACGCACGCAGGCAGGGCAGAGCGCAGCTGCAGCAGCAGTAGCAGCAGCAGTAGCAGCAGCAGTAGCAGCAGCGCGCTTAGCAGTAGTAGCGCGTGCAACAGTAGCGGCTGCGTAAGTGGCAGCAGCAGCTCAGGCGGCAGCAGCAGCCTAGCAGCAGCAGCAGCAACACAGGTGGCAGCAGCAGCACAGGCGACAGCAGCATCTTAGGCGGCAGCAGCAGTGCAGCAGCAGCAGCACAGGTGGCAGAAGCAGCGCAGGCGGGTAGGGGCTCGACAGGGAAGAGCGTAGCTGCAGTAGCGCGTGTAGCAGCAGTAGCAGCTGCGCTTGGCAACAGCAGCAGCGCATGTAGCAGTAGCAGCTGCGTAAGTGACAGCAGCAGCAGCGCGCAGCAGCGCGGATGGGCAGGGCGCAGGCAGGGTGCGCGTGGTCAGGGCGCAGGCCGGCCACAGGCTGCTGGCGGGCAGCGCGAGCGGGCAGGGGCGCAGTGGCGCTTGCGGGCAGGGGCGCATCGGCGCTTGCGGGCAGGCAGAGTGCGCGGGTAGGGGCGCAGGCTCGCGGCCGGGCAATGCGCTAGGCAGCAGGCAGCGCGCGTGCAGGTAGGCAGCGCGCTTGCAGCAGGCAGCACGCATGCAACAGTAAGCGATCAGATCGCGCGCTAGGCAGCAAGCGGGCAGCGCGACTGGCAGGGCAGGGCAGAACTGACGAGTAGGCGAAATTTCAACGGTGGGCCCTTTAAAAAACTAGGTTCTAAGGTCTAGGAACGACTTATTTTCTGAAACCATGTTAGAAGCTAGTGAGAAGGATGGTCGATTAGGTAAGGGGGGGGGATACAAGAGTGTCGATAAATGTTGTGTACCCTCTAAGGATAACCCCTACATAGGCTAGAAAGATAGAAAGCATATAATGTTTTCACAAGTTTTGCACTCAACATTCATCTATGTTGAAAAGCTCATTATTAATTCTGAGCATGCCCCTGCATCCCCTGGGGTCCCCTTCTTTGCTTGTTAATGTGTTTTTTCCTCTCTG